GTGCTTCATGGCACAAGAAGATGAGGTATGCAATAATGAAGAATTATTAGATGCTTTCAATGAATTATATGAAACATTTTTGAGATTAAAGGCTTCACATAATTTTCTTAAAGGTGAAAATAAAAAATTACTTGAAGAAATTTCTGATTTTAATTCTTCTACTATTTCTAATTCTCAAGTAATTGAATTGAAAGAGGAAAATAAATCCTTGCTTAAAGAAAATCATATTTTGACTAATGAGAATGTTTATCTAAAATCAGAATGCAATGATTTAAAAATCCGCATTAATGTTTTAGATAAAGATATTTCTTCTATTAAATTAAAATATGATGATATATGTTTGAATGTTAGTAAATTCAATAAAAGTAAAGAGAATTTGAATAATTTGCTCTCATTTCAAAAATCTTCAAACAATCATTTTGGCATTGGATTTGTTCCTAAGTATTTTATAAAGAATGATTATGTTTTGAAGAATAATAATAAGAATATTCATGCTAAACAAAATAAGTATATATGGATTCCTAAGAATTTGAATATTCATGATAGGAATTATTATATTTCATCTTATATTTATGAAGTTTGCAATTCAAAGAATTACACTTATGTTAACAAATGGAAACCAAATTCCAAGTGGATTTGGATTCCTAAGGGCTAATCCTAATGATATAATATAAAAGGGTACCAAAGTGCTTGATATTTTTATTAAGGTACCCAAGAAAAGAAATTTTTAATTAGAATTATGTTTATTTCTTTTTGCTAATGACAAAGGGGGAGTTATATAGAAAATTTTAATGCTTTGATGCAGGGGGAGTAAAAGATTTTATTTAATGATTTCATGCAGGGGGATTAAAATTTTTATATCTTAATAACATATATTTGTCATCATCAAAAAGGGGGAGAATGTTAGGAATCTTGACCCCAAGATTAGTTTGTTTTGATGATAACAAATATTATATGTTGTGTGTATTATGTGCTAACATTTGTTTTGCAGTATCAGAGCTATATCAATAATTATATTCAAAGAGATACTCAAGACATAGATGAGTTCAAGGCAAAATGAAGCAAAGAAGAAGATATACTTTATTGTCAAAATGTAATTTTATATTTTCTTTGCTTAGAAATTTGTACAAGCCTTGATCACTCACACACATGCACACACATAGTGTTAGAACACACTAACACATGCTTAGTGTGTTGGTTAACAATAGAAATCCCCTATGTTAGCCATTAGAGTTTATAAATATTGGGTGAGTCTTAAAACATTTCATTTACACCCCTTAGAAATTAGAATCTGGAAAAACTCAAAAGATCAAAGTTGTAGGTCTCTTCAAGAGCTTTCCAACAAATCTTAAATCACCTCATTCCGATATCGTATGAGAAAGTTACAGTCAAAATATTAAACAAAAAAAATTCCAGAATCTGAGTTTACAGTGTAGTCGACTACTATGCCTTGTAGTCGACTACTGAGCAATTTTCTGACTTCACAGAGTCTGTTTAAACTCAGTGTAGTCGACTACTATGACTTGTAGTCGACTACAGATGCAATTTTTTCAGATTTTAGGTTTTAAATAAGTGACTTTTTATAGCCGTTTTGTGGACGTTAATTAGGTTTAAAATTATGTCATTTCAGAGGCTATAAATAGGTTTAAACATCAGAAAACAACTAAGTTTTGCACTTATAAGATTCACTTATTGTGCAAATTAACTCTCTAAACTTTCAGTTTTTCAATCTGTTTTTCTATAAAAGAGAGTTTCTGATATTGCAATCATTCTTAGAGCTTGTTTAGACATTATTCAGAGAGTTAAAAAGATTGATAAGCCACTGTTATACATTCACATCTATATCAAGGCTTATAGGATTGAAATTGTACATTGCTTCAAAGAAAGGTTCTCTCGGTTTATGAGAGGGGTTGATCTCTTGGTCTAGAGATCGGTGTGACGATTGGCATGGTCTTGTCAATTGGGTTTGCAATTTGCATGGTCTTGCAAATTGGTCAGGTTTGCTTTTGATTTTGTAAGGTTTTAAAATCATAGTGGAAACTCTCAAGCCGGATTTTCTTGGGGACTGGATGTACACCGGGGAGGTGGAACCAATATACATGCTTGTGTTTGTGATGTTCATTTTCTGATATTGCCATTCTTTCTTTGCAATTTATAATCTACTTTGCAAACTCACACTCTAGTGTTTAAGTGTAAAGCTTTCGTAGATTTTTATAAGAGCGCACTCTATTCTTAAGGGTCACGGTCCTACACTTGGTATACATAAGCAAAACAGGACCCTACAGTTAATCGTGATCTAATTGAGGGTCATGAAAGACTTTGTCGTGACTACTTTGCCAATCCTCCAAAATATGGGGCTCGTCTCTTTCGAAGGAGATTCAGAATGAAGCAAGCTCTTTTCATGCGCATTCATATTAGCAATAAATTCAATGTGTTAGAGCGGTCTTATGTATTTAGTGGATTGGATGAAGGTAGTGCCCCTCATATTAGCTATAAAGTCAATGGGAGGCCATATGACATGGGATATTATCTTGCCGATGGTATATATCCATCATGGGCAACATTAGTGAAGACTATTCCAGCTCCACAAGGAAATAAGCATCGACATTTTGCTAAAGAGCAAGAAGGGGCAAGGAAAGATGTTGAGCGCGCATTCGGAGTGCTTCAATCACGTTTTGCAATTGTTCGAAACCCGGCAAGACTTTGGGATAAGGATAACCTAAAACATATTATGATGGCATGCATAATTATGCATAATATTATTGTCAAAGACGAGCGTGATGAACATGAGCGTATTCGTAGACTAAGGAAGATACATGATATCGAAGAAGAATATGACCATGTTGATGAAATTCCACACATATCACTTTCGCTCGAGCGTACACCAACAATAATGGAGTTCATCGCAAATCGTCATCGAGTTAGAGATAAACAAATGCATACTCAACTCCAAGAAGATCTTGTCGAGCACTTATGGAAAAAACATGGAGCCAATTAGTGATTTGCTTTCTTATATAAATCAATATTATGTTGTTTCAACTTCATTGTAATGTCGTTAAATTCATGAAGAATATTATGTTGTTTCAACTTCATTGAGTAGTAGCATACTTGGTCAAGATAAAGTTATTAACCCTACTGTCAACAATCAATTTCAAGATAAAGTTATTAACTTATGTGAATATAGCCGTTGTAGGCTGTCTAAAAATCACAATAGATAGCTGATCCCCATCAAAACACCGATGATGGAAGTTACAATCTGACGACTTCCAGATGGCTACAATTTGAAGACTTTCACGTAGATCGCTAAAGGTTACAATCTGACGACCTTCACGACAACTGATGGAAGCTCTAATCAAACAGCCTTCATAATCAACATCGGGAGTTACAATCTGACGACTCTCACATATCAGAGAGCTAAAGCAAAGATTACAAAATGACGATCTTTGCAACGCTTCGACAGAAAGAGACTACAAATCGACGGTCTCTTCAAATCAAACTGCGGAAGTCCTCCCCGCACACCAGCATCAAGACGCACCGTGTTCATAGCCACGAACGCAGCGCAAACATAGCTCCAAAAGCTGCAAACGCAGCTCAAACGCAGCTGCCATCTGCTGCCAAACGCAGCTTCCAAGCTACCAAACGCAGCTCAACGCAGCTCCAAGCGCTGCCAAACGCAGCTGCCATCTGCTGCTCAACGCAGCTGCCATCTGCTGCTCAACACAGCTCCAAGCGCTGCCAAACGCAGCTGCCATCTCAAAGAGGAGATCTTTGGCTTGGCAGCAAGGGGGGGATCGACGTTCATCCTCAGCAACGATCGACCACAGGAGCATTCCCTTGGCTTATAACCGACTTTCGGTTCAAATCAACTCTTTTTCAAGAGTTCAAACTCGTTCAGAGTTATCAACTCGATCAGAGTTCAAAACTTACTCTACGAGTTCTTCTAAAACTCGTTCAGAGTTATCAACTCGTTAAGAGTTATTTTCAAACTTGCCACGCAAGTTCTCCACAGCGTCAAATCGTGAGGAGAAGACCACGTTCCAGTGAAACAAGACATCGGATCGTCAACGAGAAGCAAACTCGACGCGAGCATTCGAGGGAGGCATCTCATCGCCACCGTGAAGAACCCAGAATTAAACAAAGGGGAGAATCTAGATCATTCTCTTCTCTTTTGTAATCAGGAAATCCAATTGTAACTGAGATTAAAGGAATACAAATCAAATTTTCCTTTATTGTCTTTTTACTGCAAATTTTCCACAAACAGCCGTGAAAGTGTTGGCCGCGGTAAACTTGATTGCGATGGGGAAGAATGAAGATGGATCAGCAGGAGGCACGACAAACTCCATGGATCCACTGTCAATAATGACAAGTTGAATGAATCGTTTAAAAAATAAATATCTGAAAGAGCTCCCATTACAGATTTATTCCTAGACATGATTATATTACCTCCGATTAGTGTTATCGACAAGAAGAATTGACCATTCCAATGTCGAATTCCTTGCATCATACCTGAAATTGATATATCAAAGGACTGAACCACTAAACAGGATAAATACATTTTCCTCATCAGTTAGAGAAATGGTGAAGGATTCGTAAGATTCTAAAGTGGTTAAAATATTAATTCTGGCTTTTTTGTTCTAAAGCAATCACACAACACATACGCACACTCCACTCAACCGGTGGGAGGCATGTCCAGTGCAAAATGGTTATGAAGAAGAAAACAAAGAATCAGAATTCAGAATCTATTTACATTTGCAAAAAGGAAACATCAACTTTACCTCCATTCTCCATCTATCTGCCTTACACTAGGTGGTTCTCGACTTGCAGGAAGAGGTATAGTTATCAAAACATTTTGCAGGTCAAACGTCTCAAAAGCTTCATATTCAATATTAACAAAGGTCTCACTTCCAGAAACAGAACTTTGTAGACTGGGAGCAATTGCAGGTAAAAAATAAAAAATGAGTAACAATGGTCAGCAAGCATACAGATTTAGACATGAAATTTAACAATAACATTGTTCAAGGTCCAAACTTGAGAAACAAGATACACTTTTCCTGCTAAACTAATCTCACAACAAAATATTACCCTCTAAATATTCAGCAGCTGAAAAGCTAGAAAGAAAGAATCCAAAACACATAACACAAGTCTCTGAATAGCATAAATATCCAGGAGTAATGACACAAGAGACTACTCATTTCCATTCTTACCAGCTCTTTTTGCCAAAATTTCTCTCTGAAGGCTGATGAAATACTCTGCTTGAATAGGATTCATGGAACTAGTATCCATAGACATTATTTTAGTTTCCTCACTTCGAGCTTGAAGTTCAATTTCCTTTTCTCTAAGAGCAACCTGCTTTTGCTCAATATTAATTAGCAACTTAAGTTGTTCTGCCTTTACGCGGTCACTTTCTAGTCTCCTTGCCCTAAACTCTTCCAACTCAGAACGGACTTTTGAAGATTCCTTCTCATCATCATCACCTTGCTCGTTGGATTTTGTTTTTTTGTTCGCTTCTTTTGCAGCCTTTCTTCCAATAGGCCTCTTCAAGGGTGCAGGTTCAGGAGCATTTCCATTATCATCTTCCAAGTTAATTGAAATTTGATTTTTAGTAGGAGCCTTGAAGATTCTAGTTGCTTCAATTTTTTTATGTTCAACCATCCATTTTTGCTGAAACCTCAAAAGAGTCCAACAATGGTCAAATCCAAACTGATGACCTTCCTTATCTTTGTAGACCGTTTTTGCCTCTTGTATCTGCAAAGAATAGCTCATGTAAATATCTAACAGAAAAATAACATTTGAGAATGCAACATCAGTACTAACATTTGAAAATATAAATAAGCAGTAGGATGCTTTGAAGATAATGAAGATAACAATGGTGTGCATCTTATCTGCCTCTGTGTATCCACTTTTCCGCAAGTGTTCAACTGCAGCATAATGTCCACAAAACCTACTCACACTGAAACTTGTTTTTGACCAGCGGTTCGTCAGTGATTTTTTAGTTCGTTCATCCGACCAACTCTTATGATCTTCAAAGTATCGAGTAATTCTTTTCCAGAATTGGTTCTTCTTTTGATCAGATCCTTTGATTGGATCTAAGCTTGTATTCAGCCATGCAGCTATAAGAAGTTTGTCTTTCTCAGGAGAGAAGTTGATAGTTCTTTGAGATTGTTTTTGTGATTTGTTGCTGCTAGGTGCACATGGCGTCTCTTGATCAGTGTGAGCTTCAGTAGTATATGTCTCTTCAAAAGGAGAACCACTGGAATGGTACAGACTCAATGGAAAATCATATGACAGATGTGGTTCATTGAGATCATCAAGGGACGATCCATTGTTGAGGAGCTCGGTGAAATTCATCTGCAGAATCTCAGAATTGCTTAACCACCAGATATAGAACTACTAAATTGCATGTACATAGAACTATACAAATTATTGTACTCAAGAGGCTTAGAGAAGGTAAGCGAGCAGATGTCTCCTCAATGACAGGTCACTTCACTTTACTTCAGCAATACTCTTGACAATTGATCTTATATATCATGATTCATTGCAAAAAAACTTAAACTACATGAACTAATAGTTGATAATATTACAGGAGGAGTATTAAGATTTGTGTCATCATAGAAGTTCCAATACAGAACTAAATATAGAAGCCTGTAAATTTGAACTCAATATAGAAGCCTGAAAATTTCTGACCAGTTCACATTTAAATTAGAAATAATGTAAAAAAACTTAAACTACATGAACTAATAGTTGATAATATTACAGGAGGAGTATTAAGATTTGTGTCATCATAGAAGTTCCAATACAGAACTAAATATAGAAGCCTGTAAATTTGAACTCAATATAGAAGCCTGAAAATTTCTGACCAGTTCACATTTAAATTAGAAATAATGTGCAAAGAGATGAATAGAAGAGGATAACATATACCAAGGACCAAGGAAAATCTCTAGTTCCATAATTCTGTACTAAGGGTTCAATAACTTGCTAAGTTCGCAGAAAACTCATACCAAAAAACAAGAGGTTTCAGCTCATACTTCAGATTGCAACAACCTTGATTTCGCCAAAAATTAGAAGCCAAGCAATACACGTTTGCCATGGTACACTATGCTCAGCTCTAATTCAAGAAAAAAACTCCTCATATAAAATTAGGTATTTTATAATGCTGACAGGTTATCAAAACAATTTTAATCTACAACTATTGAGCTAGCTAGACCAACAATCAAAGGATTAGGATATTCCAGATCAGAGGATTAGGATTCTTGATCATCCCCAAAATCAAGATTCAAGGGTCTATTACAATCAAAAATTGAAATTGAGAGAAGAAATTTACCTGAAATCCAATGGAGGCTGAAGCTCGTCGAAGATGGGAACCGGCAGCGAACGCTCGAGCTCGAGGAGATCGACGGATGGAAACCCTAGATCTTGAGGTGAGGGACGAGAACTCAAGAAATAGAAGGAGGAATCTGCGGCGAACGCTCGAGCTCGAGGAGAGCTCGAGGATGGGAACCCGTGGCGAAGATGGGAACCGGCGGCGAACGCTCGAGCTCGAGGAGATCGACGGATGGAAACCCTAGATCTTGAGGTGAGGGACGAGAATCAAGGAGTTGAAGGATCTGCGACGAACGCTCGAGCTCGAGCTCGAGGATGGGAACCCGCGGCAAAGATGGGAACCCGCGACGAACTTTCTTTGATCTTGAGGTTGTAGGCGTCAAAAAATGCTCAAAGGTATCCAAACACAGTTCAAAAGGAAGTCATCCAAAATGTCAAAAAAGAACACAAGTATGGACTGTCTCGCAGGCGAGACAGACTTTACTGTCTCGCCTGGCGAGACAGTTTTCACTGTCTCGCCCCCGCGAGACAGTATTTACTGTCTCGCCGTGCGAGACAGTATTTACTGTCTCGCCGTGCGAGACAGAATTTACTGTCTCGCACGCGAGACAGTTATCAGTGGTTCAAGAAACTGTTTTGCAACCACCGACACGTGGCCACCAACTGTTCAAGAACGTGGGGAACGTCGTGGGCGAGAATCACGTTGATAACTACCAGAATAACGGAGTTTAAAACGTGGGAAGGCAGTTACAGCGAGAAACTGTCAAGAATATTCGTTTGGCTGATCAGAGAGCATCCACAGGCTGATTTCAGAGCAGAGAGGGAGAGTACTCGAGCTTCTGGCAACTCCTTGATATTCAGGCTTTGACTTGATTTCAAGAAGAACGACTATCTTATCTTGATAAGATATCGTTTCAAGTTCTCACTTCAATAAACGAAGTCAGAATCATAAACCCCTCATGATTCGATCAGAATCTGTGATCTGGTGGTCCACGGGCTAACGCACCCCCGGCACAGGCAAAGATCCCACGCAAGCAGTGATCCAAACAACGATCCTGCGTTTGTTTCCCAAGAGTTGTAATTTTCATTTTGTTGTGTAAAAGAAGTCTTATAAAAAGGCTATTTCTTTTGAATTTATTGTAATCGACTGAAGATATAATGAATTCCATGACAAAACCAACTTTTGACGCAAACAGAGGTGAGGAGATCGAGTCGTTTTTTGTGTGTTGAGTCTAGAAGAACGTGAAATAGTGCTTTCCCAAAAATTTGCAGAATGCTGCAGATTTGGGGAAGGCTCTCTATTTTTTCTCCCCCATCCTTATTTTGGGGAATGAGATAGGAATCTGTTGGACCAAAAAAAGCTCAAAATTCTTCAAATTTGAGAATACCAAGAAGATGGGGAATATGTTGGAGATGCTCTAAAACCCGTATCCCCCCACCCCCCCTAAATCGAAATCCCCGCCCAAAATTTCCGCCCAAAATCCACTTCATCAGAACCACATCGCCTTCTCCTTCTACTTCTCCTTCCCGACCTCAGCCGTCCACTCCTCCGCCCTCTACACCCTCTCCTCCCCCTTCTCCGGCGACCTCACCCTCGACCTTCGCTCCCTGACCCTCTCCTCCGCCCTCGACCATTCCACCTTCTCCCCGATCCCCTTCTCCCTCTCCCCCGAAACCCTAACCCTATCCCTGGCCCACCCCTCCTCCTTCTTGCTGACCTTCGCCACCTCCCCCGCCTCCTCCGCCCTCCAGTGGTTGGCCGCCTCGAGGATGAAGTTCGACGGGTTTATGGACTCGATGTCGGGGTTTACTCAGTTTACAATCGAGCAGACGACGATCTCGAGCAAGCTGTGTCTTGTTGGTGACGCAAATGTGAATATATGCTGAGCCCCAAAATTGTCCTTTGCCCCAAAATCCTAACCCTAACCCTAACCTTGCTCTAGGATTTCATCGATTACGACAACTTCATCTCAAGGTGAGCCTGAATTTGTTTTGGTTAGTTTGTAATTAGGCTTTTGTTATGTGTAGGTGTGGCCTGACCTTATTAGGAAACGTAAGGAAGGGGGATTGGACGTGATCGAGACTTATGTGTTTTGGAACTACCACGAGCCTGTAAAAGGGCATGTATGAATCTGTGATTATGAACCACATAAGCTGATTTTAACTATGATTTAGCTAAGAATAACTATGAATCTGTTATTTATTTGGATGTTAAAGCTGATTTTAACTATGATTTAGCTAAGAATAACTATGTAAAAGTTTGTAAACAATTTATGTATCTTTAGTATTTTGGTGAATGTATTATTTGAATATAATCACATTTGATATTAGAATATAATTAGATTGTGTTGGATATGAATTCAATTTAGTATTGTTCAATGTTGTGTACATGCATCAAAAGTAGTTTCTGCAACAAAAAAAAAAACTGTAGCATAGCATCCTAGACGGAAATTCCGTCTAGGATGCTCAAATTCCGTCTAGGATACTTGTTTTTTTGAAAAAAATTTTAAAAACATCCTAGACGGAAATTCCGTCTAGAATAATCCGTCTAGGATATATTCTAGACGGTTTTGAATTCCGTCTAGAATAATCCGTCTAGGATGTATTCTAGACGGAATTTCCGTCTAGAATACTACATCCTAGACGGAAACATACTAGACGCGTATTCTAGACAGAATTCCGTCTAGGATACGCATTCTAGACGGAATTCTGGGTGTCCTAGACGAAATTTTTCGTCTAGGATGCCTTCTTATTTAGTAGTGCATTAATCTTTAGTCAATGATTTTTTCTGAAGTCTATTAATTAATTAGCAACAAACTTCATATTCTCTTTAGTTTCATTTTAGCCCACTTTTAATTTATCATCTTGGCTTTTAAGCTTTAATTATCCATCTTTCTTTTATAACACTACTTTTTTTAAGTGTTTTTCACTTTTACAATATTATACTTTCAAGCTTGGTTTTATGTCGGTCCAAATCATGTAAAAAATCAAATTGATTTTAAATTACATTTGTTTCCTATCAATTTAATTATCAACATAAAAATTTAAACTTAGTGTATCCCATTCAAACAAACATAAAAATAATAATCACAATGCTAAAATTTAAAGGCATAAGTGAGTAAAAACGATCAAAGTGGAACCGAGGAAAAAATTTTAGTAAGAAAATAAATTAAAAATATTTACTCATGATATTTAACCACGTGCATTGCACGTGCATAAAACCTAGTAAAAAAACGAGGGAGAAAAGGATACCACAAAACAAGAAAATGGGAGGAGGTGGCGGAAATTACAATCGAAAAATAAATGTACTTCATAATCCTCTAATCCCGTTTTCGTATCGACTTCTCGTGTAGGAATTAGCAGGTATTACCAATTTGATTTATTTTTTATTTTGGATTACGGGTTCATCGTATTGGGAGTTGCAAATTCCGTGTCTAACTTCATTCCCTTCACGGGCACCCTGAATATGTTAGCCTCTAGTTTGTTGAATG